ATAAATATATATATTATAAATATATAGTTATTAATTATATAACTAACAACAATAATAATAAAAAATAAATAATTTTTTTTAAATACTTTACTTATTTTATTTTACAAGTAATAGTAATTTTTAATACACTTGAAATAATAATAATTAATAAAAAAAATATTATAATATTAGTTTTTTTTTATTTATACAGTAATTATTATTGAATTTCAAAGAAATCCTTTAACAAAATTTTTTTATTTTTTTTTAATAACTAACTAATAATAAACAATTAATAGTATTTTCTTATTAATTGATTATAATTAATAGCATTACAACAAATAATATATAAATATAACAATAAAATATTATAAGCCGGATATTAAACAACAATAGTTAATAAAATTTATTATTATTTTTTAAAAAAATATAGACAATAATAAAAAATTTTATTGTAAATATTTTTATATAAATAATTTTTCTTTTACTTTTTATATTTAATAATTATTTATTTAATTATCTAATATTTAGATTAACTAAACAAAATTAAACATGATAATATTTGCTATTATGCATAATAATAATATGCTAATCAATAAATTATTTTAATTATAAATACGAGTAATTAATTTAAAAATATTTTTTTAAGTAAATTATTACTATAATAAATATATTTAAAATTTAAACTAAAATCATGTTATTTTGATGATTAAATTGAAAATCTAGAATATTTGAAAATATTTATATTTTTCAAAAAAAAACTTAATGATTGATAAATACATTTTTTGATATAATAATAATTGTATTTCCTATATATATATATATATATTGTATAAAGTTTATATTGTGATGATATCTATAAAAACATAGGCATATATATACAATATATATATATTCTTATAATTACAATATTTATTTATTTAGTTTGTAATCAAATATTTTATATATATATATATATATATATATATCTAAATTTTTTTAAACTAATATTCATATCATATATAGTAATACATATTAGTATCGTATAGTTTGACCCATATTTTCAATGTGTTTCTAATTATTATTTCGCGGAAATTATAAGTTTATTTAATTACATTTTATTGAAATACTCAATGATATATATGTGTGTTATTTTTTTGGGGGGTGGGGGTCGGGGGTTATTATTGATGATAAATGTTTGGACAATAGTGTTTGAAAATAGATATAATTTTTATTTTATCATATAAAATTAATGTGTGAGATTAAATGGGTTATCATATATATAAATATACAGTAAATATATATATATAGTATAGTATGAGTTTCACATTTTATAGTAATTTATATTTTTAATTTATTTTGATTATTATTTAAAATATTCAATTTCTATATATTTACATATATTTTTATTTTTATATCATTTGAATTTTGAAATAATTTTCTAAATAATAATTATTTACTTATTTAGTTAGTAATCAAATATTTATAATATCTATATTATAGTAATATTATATATATATTTAAATTTTTTAAAACTAATATTTAATTATATAGCAAACTAATAAAACAATTATAATTATAAAATTACTGGAAATAAATATCATATTAAACTATTAATTTGTTATTTGTAGTATAATTTTTTTGTAATTATAATTATATAATTACTAAACGTTTGTTAAATATAAATATGTAAAACTAATAAAATAAATAATTTTATTTACATATTAATTTAGTGCTATTATATTTTTAAAAAAATAAATAAACTACTAATCAATAATAATAATATAATCAATAATTATTGATTGTATATTTAAATAAAAAAATAAAAACTAATAAACTTATAATCTAAAAAATTATTTAATGTTTAAAAAAATATAATTATAATAATAATTTTTCAGAAAAAAATACATTAATTATTATTTAATATTATTTAAAATAAATTATTTTTTATTTGCACTAAATATCTATTTTTGTCTACACATACATACAAATAAAAAAAATTATTATTAAATATTATTTATTATTATTGAGCATGGAAAATTTTTCATTATATATATTATTGTATTTTATTTGCTAATTTTTATTATTTTTATAAATAAATGATCTATTGCACGATATTATTATTATTATTATTAATATTATTAAAAAATAATAATAATTAAGTTAATATGATTTCCTCCCCCCGCACACCCACCCCCACATAAAATTGTACTTAGAGTTCATATTATTATAACTTATATATAATTTTTTTATGTATTTTAAAATAAAATCATTAGTAATGTCTCTGAAAAAAAACAATATTAATAGTATTGCATAAAAAAATATTACTAATATATTATATTTTCAAAAATAGTTTTTATTTTTATACATACCATATATATATATAATATTTTTGACTTTATAATAATATAATAATTATAGTGTCTTATTTTATTATTATTTTATTTTTGTTTCATTTAAATGGTGATGATCAAGGTCAATTATAGAGAAAATAAATATATATATATATATATACTATAACTAAAATAACCTATTAACTTTTACTATGAATAATAGCATATTCAGATAAATTATTAGTAAATTCAAAGTTTTATTATTAGATTTTATTTTATATTATTTTTTCATTATTATTAGAATTCAATGAGATTTTTTAGTCAAATTTGTTTATTCAATAATTTATTTATTACTATTAAATATTATTATTATTATAATTTAATAATATTGAATAATATTAATACTACTATTACTACAACTATTGCTAATAATAATAATAATAAGTCAATAATAATTAATATTAAGAAATTGATTTTAAAACTAATATAATTAGTCAATTAAAAAAAAATTCAAAGTTAATTTAATTATATTTTTTTAAATATTTTTTTTTATTAAAATATAATAATGATTTCAATAAAATGGACAACTACGTTAATTATTTATTATTGCTCATTTGTTTATGTAAGTATATTTAATTAATTAATAAATTAATTAATTAGTAATTTTTTAATTATTAATATCAAATTGTATTGAATTTATATATACATATAATAAGTATATATATATAATTTAAGTATAATAATAATAATCAATAAATTTAAAAATACTACCTGTTTTGTTATGTAAATATTAATTTATTAATGCAAATAATATAACAATACTAATAACTAAAAATAACTACTATTTTAGTATTTTATATATATATATATAAAATTTTATAGTATATTACATTCAAAATAAACAGTAAGTTTTATAGTAAACAGAAAAAAACTATTATTTTCACAAACTATTAATTATTGAAATATATCAATACTTTTTTTTAAAAAAATAACTTAATAAACAACAACAAAAAATAAAACATAAATTTTTTATATTAAAAAAATTTAATAATATAATAGTAATGATAATTACTTAATACACTTAATAACTGTTATAATTTATATATCTAAATAAATATTTTTACTTTAATAATAGATAATATATATAAATATTTATGATTGAATATTATGAATAGTTTTAAATAATTTTATTGATGCAAATAATAATAATAATCATAATAATAATAGTTGAATACAAATTAGATTTTATCATTAAATATAATTATTTAAATATTTTTTTCTTAACAACAAAACTGTACTTTTTATATAAAACATTAAACCATTATTTCGTAAATATTTTTAAGATTTTATTTATAGGAATTCAAAACAAAAGCATAAAAAATAAATTTTTAAATAATTTAAAAATTAAAACACAAAATATATAACTTTATTTATATTATAAAAATTTTATTATTTAGTTAATTATTATTATTATTAGTTAATTATTAATATTTAGTTAATTATTATTATATATTTAATAATTATTATTATATATTTAATAATTATTATTATATATTTAATAATTATTATTATTTATTTAATAATAATTATTATTTATTTAATAACTATTATTATTTATTTAATTAATTATTGATATTTAGTCAATTTTTATTATTATTTAATTAATTAATTATTATTATTATTATTTAATACTATTATATACACTATATATTACAGGGTATCGCCAGTTTCATCAACGCTACGGCACTGTTAGACATAACCTTATTGTTGGACTCAGACATCGAAACCATATCCCTATTGTTACCCATAGTATGTTCACTGTTTACCGTCGGTTCACTGGCCAGTGGTCTCCTATTTTCACTGGTCAACCGTCATCTATGCTGTATCGTAGCCGTACTCACAATGGGCTCGACCATTGCACTGACACCACACTCGCCAAACATACCCGTCCTCTATACTATGGCTGCCCTTAAGGGTCTATCCAGCGGTGTGTTCAACAATGCCCAAACCATATGGATTGTTGAACTATGGGGACCGGTAGGTTCAAGCGGACCCTATCTACAGGCTCTACAGTTTTCCATAGCTATCGGCCTATTCATAACACCATTGCTTAATACACCGTTTCTATCCCAGTGTGTGGTCGACGATAACAATACAATAGCCGTCGATATTATTACTGATGATATCAGTAATAATACTATTATTAATAATTTATTTATTAATAATACTATAAGTAATAGTAGTATTACTACTAGTATTAGTAGTAGTGATGTTCAATGTGTTGAACAGTCAATGATTGGCATACCCTATGGTATCGTTGGTTTGCTATCATTGATTGGATCACTATTGCTAACCGTATTATATTTCCTACTAAAATATGATACAAATACTAATAATAATAATAATAATAATAATGAAAAAATTATTATTAATAATCTTAATAAAAATAATAGTAATAATGTTGTTACCTATCATATAATTAATGATAATACATTAAATATTAATAATATTAGTGATGATAATGATAATAATAATGATTATATTAATGATAATAATGGCTATATTGAAGTTAAAACTAATAATAATAATAATATAAATAATAATTTTAATAATAATAATAATAATAATAATAAATTAAGTCAACAACAAAATAATAGACTAATCAATTCAAATCAATCACTAATATATCAATTATTTTTCATAATTATTGGTTTTCTAATACTTGGCCTATATTTTGGTATAGAAATGACAACATTTCAATTGTTGGCAACATTTACACGTTATATCAATCATCATATTACTGGTAATTACTATATATATATATATATATATATATATTAATAATTAATTAATTAATAATTTACTATTAATTAATTAATATATTAATAAGTTTGAAATATTATGCTTGAAATATTAGTTTAACTATTTTGTTATCTATAAACAATTTAATTGATAATAATTGATAATTTTTATTTTATTTTTTAAAAAAATAATTTAGTAGTTTATGACCTTGTTATTAGTTATTTAATTATTATTATCTTGAAAAACAATTATTATCTATTAATAATTATTTTAAATATATTTTGTTTATTGAAGAATTTTTTTGTTGTAGAAAAATAATAAAATATTTTAATTATAATCAATTATAAAATATATTACTATAAATATATATTTTATTTTTTGAAAATTATATTTATAATTTAATTTGTTTTGATAAAATTATTTGACAATATTTTTTTTTATTTGTTTTTATTTAATTATAATGCAAGCAATAATTTTTATTAATTTATTATTTTTCATAGAGTTTTCTAAACATTTAGTTAAAATATTTTAGTATTTATTATAAATACTATAAAAATATAAAAAAATAAATTAAATATAAAATTAGAAAATTAAATAACTTATTATTTGAAATTATTATTTTTTGAAAAAAATAATTAACATAACTATTATTAAACTTATAATTGTATATAAAATATAATCAACAACAAAAATAATATATTTTATTATAAATAACAATTTTTACATAAAAAAACTGTAACAATTATCTTAAATTAAATTAATTTATAATTACTAAATAAATTAAGTTAGATATAGACTAAATTGGGGAAACAAATATTTGCATAAAATTTTTTACACTATTTTCTAAAAAAATTAATTAAAATTTCTAATTAATTAAAATTTCTAACCATAGGTCCGGATTCGGCAACAATTATGGCTATATTTGGCGGTTCATTCACACTATTCAGAGGACTATCGATAATATTTTCCCTGAAAATGAAACCGAAAATTATGCTTATATTTAATTTTCTACTAATATTTTCGGGAAATATATTATTGATTATATTTGGTGGCAAATCGCATACAATTATTATTTTGGTAATTATTTTTTGTTTTTTTAACAAAAAAAAACAACAAAACAATTATGACATATATAATTATATTTTGATAGATAATTAACATAAAATCTATATATATATAATTATAAGTTTAATATTATAGTTATGGTAATTATTTTTTCAAAACAAAATAATAATTTCAAAAATAATTCTAATTTGATATTTAATTAATTTTTTTTTCAAATAAAAACAACAAAACAATTATAACATATATAATTATTTTGATAAATATTTATTTTATTTTAATTAACAATTTTTTTTAATTATCTTTGGTGTCATAAGTCATGTGCACAAAATTTTTTAATTTAGTATTTTTTAATTTAGTATTTTTTAATTTACTATTTTTTAATATTTTAATTTACTATTTATTTATTTTTTTTGTTTGGTGTCATAAGTCATGTGCACTAATCGGTGGCGGGTTTTCATCGACCCTTCCCTCAGTCTATACCCTATTGGGTCAATACATTGGCATTAATAATACATTGGGTTCACTGTTTACATTTGGCGGCGGTTTGATGGCCACAACAAACACATTGATTATCGGCAACTATATCGATATTATACCGATTTTACTAATCTATAACAATATTTTAATGACAACTTTAGTTGTCATACTATATCTATTGATAATAACATCACATAATTTTATTAAAACATTAGACAACAATAATGTTTGTCCAAATGATAATAATCACATTAATGAGATTTAATAATTAATTTAAACTATAAAAAGTATTTAAAACTATTTATTATTATTATTTTTTTAATTATTTTTTATTTTATAATTTACACCATTTTATAAATATGTTATATATGTTATATAAATTTATGTTATTTAAATTATATACACAAAAAAAATATTTATATTTTTAATATTTGAATATTATTATGATATTTAATTATATAATTATTATATTAATTAATAATAATATATTATAACATATTTATTTACAAATATTTTGGATAAACTATTAAACACTTTTCATTTATAAAAAAAAATAAATAAATAATTATTTACAATAAGGTTTCAATTTATTTATTTTTTAGTATTAGTTATTAACTATTATTAATTAATCATAATTTAGATAAATTAAATAAATCTAATTTAAAATTAAAGTAAATACATTTATTTTATATATTTACTACTGATATAATATAGTATTTATACAGTTTATTATTTTAATGATTAAATATCTATTAATATATAATTTTACTTTTATATATTTTAATTAATTTTTGATTAAATTAAACTAAATATTTATTTTTTAAAATATTAAACTGTACAATTTTTAATAAATTAAAACTAACTTATATTTAATTATTTTTTTCAAAATAAAACTTAAGAATTGATAGCAACTATTATATTAATAAATATTAAATATTTATTTTAAAATTTATTTATGACAACAATAACTGTTATTATACTATATATATATTAATTTAATTAATAATTAAATTAAAATATATTTTATTAAACCAACAATAATCTAATGTCTAATCTAATGATAATAATCACATTAACATTAATATAATATTTTATAAATATAAACAAAAACAATTTATTATTTATATAAAAAAATTTCAAATAAAATATGTAACAATAATTTTTAATTTATTAAATTTGTAAAATTTAATTATAAATAAAAAAAACTGTATTTATAAATAATTTGTTCATTTATAACATCAATATATTATAAATAACTAATTTTATTAGATTAGCAATCTCTCAGTTATTAGATTACTATAAAATTATTTAAAAATTAGTTAAACAATTAAATTTAATTATTAGTATTAAAAACTTATATCATAAGTTAATACAAATAAATTATGTTATTAACAAAAATAACTTAATGTATTTATTTAAATAATTTTTCTAAATTATAACAAAATTATGCAAATATTTAATAAATAATAAGTATTTTAATTTTGACAAAATTAATAATTGTTTTCATATTTAATTATTGTGTATTATTTATAAAAAATAATAATTATTTTAGTTGTTTTTTTTTAATATTATAATTCTAAGCACATTAATTTTAGTTTAATTTTACATAAAATAATTTAATTAATTTATTATAATTGTAAATAACTTTAGATTCGGTTAAAGACATCTAAAATTTTAAAAAAATATTAAAATTATTAATTTTTTAATTACATAAAAAGTATACATACAGTTTTTTTTATTTATTTAGTAATACTAGTTAAATAATAACTATTAATACATAAATAATATATATATATAATAATTTTCTATTTTAATAAATAAATTAAATATTATAAAAATATTGGATTTTAACATAAATAAAACTACAGTCATGAATTTAGCTATTTTTAGTTAATATAAAAATTATTTATTATATATTTTATTTTGATATTACAGTTTCATAATTAATTTATTGATTTGATTTAATTATATATATAAATAGATTTTGTTATTTATTTATTTATTGATTAATTATCAATTATTTAATCTTTATAAAAATTATTTAATTTATTAGTAATAGTAGTCAATTAATTTTAATTAACTAATCAATTCAATCACATAGAAAAATATTAATAACCTCTAACTATAACCAAACTTAACTGAAATAATTTTATAACCTATATTTTTTTTATTAATTAAATTAATAGTAATTTTTGATTAACTAATTTTTAATTTGAAATAATTAAAATTAAATATTAATATATAATAAACTGTAACAATATTGAATATGTTATAAAAATTATTAAATAAATTAGATTATATAAGTTTTTTAGTTATTTTAATACAAATCGTTATTAAAAATAATAATTGTAATTATTTTTATAGTTTATCGATTAACAGTTTTAATAATAACTATAAATTATAATCGGCATAAAATATATATATTAATTTTCTATTTTAATAAATAAAATTATAAGGAAACTAACTATTTTAGTATTTATTTATTTTTATAATCAAATAATTTACTATTGTTTTAATTTTTTGAAAGATTTTCGAAATTTAATTTTACAATTCATTCAGTCATAACTTTAATTGTTAGACTATATGTAAACACAATTATAATATATTTGATTATTAGATAAAACTTTATAATTATTAATTTTTTATTATTAAATTTAAAAACTGTAACAAAATTAGTCAAATATTTAATATATAATTATATTAATCTTCAAAAAAAAAATTTAGACTAAACACTTTAATTTAATTTTTAATTTATATATAGTTAATTATAATAACAATTTTAATTATAAAAATTTTAATATATATTGATGATAAAAATTTTTAAAAATTTAAAAACATATAATTAATCATTTGATAAAAAATGAAAAAACAAAAAAATATACTAAAATATATAAAGTTTTCTATAACTACATAATAAAATTATTTAAAACTGTATAATAAAACATAGGTAATTATTTAATATTATATAATTATATAATATTTAATAACTAGCAATATAGCAAAACATATTATATTATTGTTATAATATTACTAAAAAGTTTATTAAATTTATAAACTTAATAAAATAATTTAAAACAAATTATATTATATATAACCAATAATAAAATAAAATTTTTTTTTAGTAAACTGTAACTTTATTGATTTATTGTTTAGTTATCCAGCATAATTATTCAATATATAAAAATTTTAGCATTATTGACTTACAAGTTAGTAAAACAAATTTTTAAAAATAATTTTTTTATATAAATGTGTAATTTTTATTATTTTAAATATAAAAATTATTTATTATTTTTTAAAATATATAATTCTAGTGAAAACTGATAAAAGAAATTATTTAATATTAATTTGATAATAATAATGATTGTTTAGTAATATATATATATAGTAATTTATACTAATGTATATAAAATAAAGTTTATAAATGTTTTATATTTATAATTCAATGTTATGTCAAGTCATAATATAACAATTGATAAAACAATTATCATAACTAATTTAGTTATTTTTTATATATAAAAATAAATTTTAAATACACTGATAATTTTAAAATTATTGCAAATAAATATATTTTTAAAAATATAACTAAAAAAATTAAAAGCTTGTTTATCTTAATTTTAATTGTTTATATTGTTTAAAATATATGCAATTAATAATTATATTAGTATTTATAACATTAATCTAATAGTAAATTATTACTTTTTTTAAATGATAATTTTGCGATAAATTTTCAATTAATCTTGATAAACTAAATAAAATATAAAATTCAATAAATTAGTTAAAAACAACAAATAATAAGAAAGTTTTCAATTTCCACATTTTAACGCAACATTTAAAATTAATTTAATTTTTATTAAAAACAAATTAATCCTAACTTATTTTTAAAATAAATTTCAATTGTAAAACTGTAAACATATATTTAATTCAAACATTAAATTAATAATTAATAGCAACAAAAATAAATAAGTTTAAAAACRCGTGGCCAATTATTATTTATTATTATTTATTGTTTAATTTTTATTTATTTATTATAACTATTTGTAAACTATTAACAAAATTTACAACAAAATTTATTAAACCTTTAATTTTTAGTTATAAAATTTATAGTTAAATTATATTTTCATTTAGAAAAATTATTAATTACTATTTTAGTGCACTTATTGTCTTAGTTTATTTTTTAATACTATAAATTATTTCTAATTATTTAATTATTAATATTTATTTTAAAATATCTAATTACTTTATAATATATTGTTAAATTTAATTCATAAAAACTTTATATAATATTGAATTAATTAAATTAAATAATTAAATAAATTTATATTAAAAAAAATATTTAAAACATTCATTTATAATATATTCTTAGTAAAACAAATTTTTATATAAAACTGTAATTTTTATTATTTTAAATGTAATGAAAAGTAAAGAAAGAATTTTTTTTTATATTAATTTTCTATTAATTTACTATATTTACAATTTATTGTTTAAATTATATTTTCATTTAAAAAAAATATTAATTACTATTTTAGTTCACTTATTTTAATGTTTAATTTCTTAATTTTATAATTATAAAAATTATAATTATGAATACTGATAATTGTTAATTAATTAATAATTAAAATAAATTATTTATGATTAATAACAAAACACATAGACATTGTATGAAATAATTATTTAATAAATAATTGTTTTAAATTATATATTAACACAAATATAATTAAAATAAATAAATAATTAAATTATTATAATTGTAAATAACTTTAGATTAGGTGAAAGACATTACTAAAAACACACATACAATTTGTTATTTATTTAGTTATAAATATCATTATATCAAATTATTAGTTAATTTTAATTTTTCCATGTTTTTTTCTAAATTAGTTAATTTATAATAGTAATCAATTAATTTTAATTAACTTAAAATAATTTTTTTTAAAAACTACTTCATAATAATAAAACAAAAATTGACAATTCAATTGATTAATTAAAATTATACAATTGAGTTTCTAAGTAATTATTATTATTATTATTATCAAAAAAATAAAATTTAATATTTTATTAAAAAAATACAATTACAGTATAATTTTTAATTTTTTATAACTACATAATTACTGTATTACATAATCACATAAAAACTGTATAATAAAATATAGGTAATTATTTAATAATTATAATTTAAATAAATAAAACAAAACTAGCAATATAGCAAAGCATATTATATTATTGTTATAATTTCGATATTACTAAAAAGTTTTTTTAGTAAACTGTAACTATTGATTTATTGTTTAGTTATCCAGCATAATTATTCAATATATAAAAATTTTAGCATTTTAGTCTAAGTGTATTTTTTTATTACTGTAAATTATTATTTACAAAAAAAAATATTATAATTAACTAAAAAATGTTTATTCATTATAACGATAATATATTTTTAATAAATAATTATGCTTATATTTTTATATATTTAATATCAAATTGAAAAAAAACTATTTAACTTTTTGTAATTATTTTATTTTTAATAAACTTATTTAAAAAAATGTCGAATAACTTAATAATATATTGTTAAATTTAATTTATAAAAACAATAAATAAATTTATCAAGAAAAAAAATTATTTAAAACTTATCAAAAACATTCATTTATAATATATTTTTAGTAAAACAAATTTTTAAAAATAATTTTTTAAATATATAATTTTAGCAAAAAAGTAATAAAAGAAATTTTTTATATTAATTTTCTATTAATTTACTATATTTACAATTATTTTACAACAATTTATAAAAATAATAATAATGCTTGTTTAGTAATAAATATTTTTTTTTGATACAAATATATATAAAACAAATTTATAAATGTTTTATATTTATAATTCAATGTTATTCAAGTCATGACAAAAAAATATAACAATTGATAAAAAACAATTATTAAAACTAATCTAGTTAATCTTGTTTATATAAAAATAAATCTTAAATACATTGATAATTTTAAAATTATTTCAGATAAATATATTTTTAAAAATATAACTAAAAAAATTAATAGCTTGTTTATCTTAATTTTAATTGTTTATATTGTTTATAATATATGCAATTAATAACTATATTAGTATTTATAACATTAATCTAATAGTAAATTATTACTTTTTTTAAATTTTTAATTAATATTGATAAACTAAATAAAATTCAATAAGTTTTCAATTTTCACATTTTAATACATTGTTTTTAATTTTTACACATTTAAATATATTTAATTTTATTTTTAAAAAAACAAATTAATCATAACTGATTTTTAAAATAAATTTCAATTTTAAAACTGTAAACATATATTTAATTCAAATATTAAATTACTAATTAATAACAACAAAAATAAAAATAGTTGTTAAATCTATGGCCTATTAGTTTAATTATTATTATTTTTGTAACTATAATAACTAAAGTATTTGTAAACTATTAGCAAAATTTACAACAAAACTAAGTAAACTTTAAGTTTATAATTAATTATATATTTATTTTTAATAAATAATAATAATTACWACTTTAATTCACTTATTTTAATATACAATTTCTTAATTGTATAATTATAAAACTTTTTTATTTATTTAAAAAATTTTATAAAAATTATTAATATGAAAAGTGATAATTATTAATTAATTAATGTATTTTAAAACATGAAAAAAT